GGCGGGTCTCGAACCTGCGGGCTCAGGCAATCCACTCACCTCAGCCTCCCAAAGGCACGGGATTACGGGCTGAGCCACTGAACCCAGCTTGTTTTGTTTCTAACATATGGTGATAACAGCACATTATGGAAAGAGAGTAGCTTGCTTTTAAAGATATTTTCTTTAAAAAAAAAAAGGAAAGAAATTTCCAGCCTGGGCAACTTGGCGAGACCACATCTCTACAATAAATCAAAAACATAGCTGGGTATGGTAGCACCCACCTATACTTCCAGCTACTTTGAAGACTGAGGCGGAGGTGGCTGAGAGGCATACCACTGCCCTCCAGCCTGGGTGACTGAGTGAGACTCCAACTCAAAAAAAAATTTAACTTGAATTTATAAATGATTCTATTTCCACTATTTTCCATTTGGATGACATTGCAGTATGTCCTCATACAAATCAGGAGCTTCTGTTTAAGGCTATTCTTTTTTTTTGGGAGTTGGAGTCTCACTCCGTCACCCAGGCTGGAGTGCAGTGTGAAGCTCACAGCCACTGCAGCCTCAGCCCACTGGGCTCAGACGATCCTTCCACCTCAGCCTTCCAAGTAGCTGAAACTACAGGCATGTGCCACCATGCCCAGTTAATTTTTTTAACCTACTTTATTTTATTTTTTTTATTTTTTTATTTTTTTGAGTTGGAGTCTCACCCCATCGCCCAGACTGGAGTGCAGTAGCCGCTCCCGGCCACCGCAGCCTCGACCTGCTGGGCTCTGGTGATTCTTCCGCCTCAGCCTTCCAAGTAGCTGGAACTACAGGCACGCACTACCACACTAACTTTTTGATTTATTGTAGAGATGAAATCTCACCAAGTTGCCCGGGTGGGTCTCGAACCCACGGACTCAGGCAGTCCACTCACCTCACCCTCCCAAGGCGTGGGATTACAGGCTGAGCCACCGAGCCGACTTAACCTACTTAATTTTAAATCAAGGGAAAGAGTAGGAAGGAGACTTGTGGGGGTGTGGGGGTTGCCAGCAGATGCAATGGGATCTCAGGGATTGTGCCTGGTCCTCTTCTTCATGCCACCTCTTGGGTTGGCTGGGGTGGGTGTCCCCTTAGATGTGAGTTACTGGCTGCTGTGAGGCTGATGGCCATGGTTCATTTGAGCAGTGCAGGAGCAGGAAAGAGTTGGGAGCAGAACCATCCCCTGGTATTGGAGTCCAGGGAGTCTGTGTGTGCCCCAGGGTTCCCAAGTCCTCATGCATCCTGGGGACAGGAAGGTGCAGTAGGTCCCTGGTGACCAGCTGTGTCCCGATGAACAGCTGCCCAGAGATTACAGGGAGGGATGATGACCGACACATTTTATAACCATGTATCTCCTGATGGGATCTGTGTTCACCTAGAAGTGACTGCAGAGCCACCTGTGGGCGCTGCCATGGGGTAGACTCCACATAGAACTGATGGGAAGTTTCGACCAGTTGCACTTGCACGTTAACACATACACACACACCCCTCTGAATGACCCCTCTGTACTGTCATTCCACAGCTGCGTCTCCAGTCGTCACCTCAGGCTAACCTGCAGGGGTGTTCACACGTGCTAATGATGTTAGCAGCAGCAGATTATTCAGTAAATAAGGGTGAGAGTGACTGTGCAGACACACTTAGTGATTTGCTCTTGCGGATAAATGCCCCATCTTTACACAGTGCAGGTTACAGAGAAGAAGCAACACAGTGGCACTGTGTTTCCAGGTCTTCTCATACTGGGTCTCACTGGCACTGCCATAACTCTGTTGTGCTCTGTGCTTTGGCGGCCAAGTCTCTCGGGCTCGTGTCACATTGTGTGCACACGTGCCTGGTTGGGTCAGACACCACACATTTCAATTTCCAGCTGTTGGACTTCGTTCCCTCTGGTAGGTGTGGGACATGTGGGGCTTGTGGTGGCTGAAGTGGATCCGAGAAAGTTACTAAAATCAACACAAGGAGGCAGACATCCATTAACCTTGGTGCATATCTTTCTGCCTTCTGGATTAATGTTTCCAGAGATCTGCTGAAGTATTTACTTAGCAAACAGCACTAACATAGTTACACCTGGAACCGCAGAATGACCTTGTACAACATTGTTGCTCAATTGTGTCTGAGATCATTAATGGGTCCGAACTCCTTGCTGAGTGTGAACTTGGCGTTCGGCTGATGTTTCATGGCCCAGAAGCCTATTGTCAGCCTGCCTCTGCTTTGCCTTATAATTTCCCCATTCCGTGGCCTTTTCAAAGCTATTTTTTATGTGTCCGTGGGCTTCCACTGTCTAAGCGAAGGCATGGGCTTCAGGAGTTGTATGAGAGAGAAAACCTGCCTAATTCTAAAAGCTACTAGGGCTTTTTGTTTCTCTATGCAGAGTTAAACCTAATGAAATGTGTGCCTCCAACACCTGGCTTCATCATTATCTCATAACTTTAAAGGCTACTGCACTTCCTAGCTTTAGAGGGTGTCATCCTAGTGTTGCTACTGACATGGTTCAGTAGAGACTCTGTCCTTAACAGATGCATTTCCAGGTCAGCAACGGAAGTCAGTAGAA